GTCTTGTTTGTTTGTTTTTTAAAAAAAAAACTCCCCAAAAACAAACCCCCAGACGGCAGACTGACCGATACAGGGCATGGAACCACCATCGGCGGTGTCATTGTCGACAGCGGAAAATTTGATTGGGGCAAGCATGGCAAGCGCTTTCCGCAAATGATCGAGCCTTCAGAAGGCTACCATGGGCTCAAATTCTGGGAAACCTTTGGCCCAATCACTTTCCTCATCAGAGCGCGTGTTGAAATCCAAAGAGATCTAGGTGCAGCACTGAACCCATTTGCTGCGCAACAACTTCTCCTTGGTGTCGAGACGCTTTCTCTAAGAGCTGAGCGACATGCCTACAACGCGCTCAAGCTAGCCAGATGGCTGGAGAGCAACGAGAATGTGAGCTGGGTTTCATACCCAGGTCTCGAGAGCCACCCATCTCATCAACTGGCCAAGAAGTACCTGCCGCGTGGTTATGGAGGCGTCCTGTCGTTTGGTGTGACAGGAGGTGGCAAAGCAGGATCCCAGGTCGTGGACAACTTCAAGCTCATTTCCAACTTGGCCAACGTAGGCGATTCGAAGACATTGGCTATCCACCCTTGGACTACAACACACGAGCAATTGAGTGACGAGGAGAAGCTCAGTTCCGGTGTTACCGAGGTACGTACTATCGGCTTTGTATCATGTCAGACTGCGAAGTAGCTAATTCGTATTACAGGATCTCATCCGAATTTCGGTTGGAACCGAACACATTGACGACATCATTGCGGATTTCGAGCAGTCGTTTAAGAAATCAGCGACAAAGCCGGGGGAAAAGGGCAGTTCAGACAATGCAGGCAAGACTGGTGAAGGCGAAACTCCTGCGTCCTTGTCTGGTGCGACGTAGAGGAAGTCAGGACAAGCGAAGGACAAACATGCAGAAACGCCGATTGTCAAGGCATAGCAGATGATCAGCCAGCAAGACCCATTAATACTTAACAGAGAGAAAGTTGCGAGCCCTTGTCCTGTACAATATATCTCGGTGCTACAATAATATGGCCGTGCGACACTATGTCGTCTCTCCGTAACCAAAGTTGCCGCCATGTTGCGTGACGCAACATTTCGAGTCGATAGACTATGCCTCGGTAACTCTCCCCTTTGGTTAGCGCAACCTCGCACAAACCGGTGGCCAATCACCATGAGGCCCGTTTACGGGGGGGGGGGGTGGCATCCGTGTGGTAAAATCACTCCAGACTCTGGCTCGCTCGGCATGTGAAAAGAAGGAAATCCGGCGCAAACACATGACGCAAAAGCGCACAGCCCCCCCTGTACGTAACACATGCTTCGAAGCTGACCGCATTACACGCGCACACTTCTTTCGCATCAACTACGTGAAGCACACAGATCCAGTTGTCTTTTTTTTTTTCCAAAAAAAAGTGTCCTTCGTCTGGGGAAAAAACAACAGGGTATATATCGGCGCATGGAATGCCTCCCCCCCAAATGTGGAGATTGCGCACGGGGTATTTACTTTACTCTTTCTTGGCCCTGGGTTCGACTTGCCCACTTTCTGAGCGGCGCCCCGGCCGGGGGAGCCACGCGCGCGCGCGCGTCATTTGTATGTTGGAACCTAAGGGCGAGCGAAATGCCCACCCCACCTCCAAGATGCCGAGGCACATGGCCCCCTTCGTAACAGGAAATATGTGGGTATATTCGGTCTGGGGGCGGGCCTCTTGTCTTCAATAGGTGTAGGTTGCCCGACTGATCAGGTCCTCCGCCCTTCTCTCTCTCTCCCTTACACACACTCTCTGTCCTTTCTCTCTCTCTCTCTCTCTCTCTCTGTTTTAGACATATAGAGGAATCGTGAATTTTCCTTTGTGCATCATCGTTGTTTTTCCTTGGAGATTCAGCCTTGAGCAAAAGAACTTCAGCTTTTCGTGTTGTACTCGGCAAAGGATATTCGCGGCGGCGCGCTAGGACCCAGGGTATGTTGTCATTTGGCACATGGGAGAAAGAAGCTCGGGGACTTTGACTAATGTTTGTCATAAAGTAGACTTGTTCGTTACGGTCTTTTTCGGCATCCGCTTGTTTTTCCTCTCGCTGCAACTGCCATTGCTACTGCTCTCAATCTTCCCGACTTGTATATTCGTCGATACTTTTGAAACCCTTTTGGGGCCTCGGAACCGTTTGCGCGCACGTAGCACTACTATAACGACAACGAGAACATGTTTTCAGGCACAGACGCTCAGATAGAGCGTGCGAACGACCTCCATACTCCGCCGCCAAAGGGAAAGCCTTATAGCGTTCCGCTACCGGGTACCGAGATAGAAGGAAGAAGCGCCATCTACAGGCATTGGAGGTTTGCGGACAAGCCTGTATTGGATAAACTGGTTCCTGAGGTACCTTTCTTTTCTTTTCCATACAGAGAAATAGTCGGCATTGGTCGGGAAATCAGCTGATATCAAGTCACAGATTAGCACACCATTCGAGGCCTTCGAGAACGCGGTTGCAAAATGGCCCAAGAACAGGTGCCTCGGTCACCGCCCCTACGATGCTGCGACCAAGACATTCGGCCCGTACATCTGGGAAGACTATGAGACTGTTGCAAAGCGAAGGAGGGACTTTGGCGCTGGTTTGGTGCACCTGCACAGACAAGCCGGTGTGACTGCGTCACATTACGGTGTGGGCTTGTGGTGTCAAAACAGGCCTGAGTGGCAGATTACCGATTTGGCCTGCATGTCCCAAGGCCTCTTTACCGTTTCCATCTACGACACGCTTGGCCCCGACACGACTGAATACATCATCAACCATGCGGAGCTGACTTGCGTGGTTTCGGGAATGAACCATGTGACTGCGCTTTTGAAGCTGAAGCCACGACTCCCGACTTTGAAACTCATCGTCGTTCTCGACCCATTGTCGGCTGGCGAGCTTCCTGGAGAGTCAAAGGGAGACCTTTTGAACTCGCTTGCAAACGAGCAGGGTGTGTCTATCCACTACATCCGAGATGTGGAGGCTCTGGGCGAGAAGCAGCCTCTTCCAATGAACCCACCTACACCGGACGACATTGCCACCATTAACTACACTTCTGGAACCACCGGTAACCCCAAGGGTGTTGTCTTGACCCATCGCAACGCGCACGCTGCAACATGCTCGAGCATGATCCTCACTGGCGGCAAAGCGGGTGAAGTCATTTGTTCTTTCTTGCCTCTTGCGCACATTTACCAGCGCCTGACGGAGCATTCGGCGCTGGCAGGTGGCTCGGCAATTGGCTATTTCCACGGCAACATTGTAGAACTCGTAGATGATCTCAAGATGGTGCGCCCGACTATCTTCTCTGGAGTACCCAGGCTTTACAACAGGTTTGGAGGAAAGATCAAGGAAGCTACCATTCAGGCAACTGGCGTCAAGGGAGCATTGTCACGGCACGTCGTGTCCACCAAGCTTGCGGCTATTCACGACAAGCAGAACCCGACCAACAAGCATATGCTCTATGACCGCGTTTGGGCGAGCAAGGTGGCTGCGGGTCTTGGTCTGGACCGAACCAAGGTCTTGATCAGTGGCTCTGCGCCCATTGACCCCAGTCTACACCAGTTCCTGCGCATTGTTTTTGCAAGCAACTTCACGCAGGGATACGGCCTGACCGAGACGTACGCCATGGCACTGTTCCAGCACGAGAACGATTTCTCATCGGGCAACTGTGGCGGTGTTGCGCCCACGACCGAGTGCGCCCTGGTAGACGTGCCAGACATGGAGTACTTTGCTTCCGACAAGCCATTCCCTCGCGGTGAACTTGTCGTCCGTTCGTCGACGCGCTTCAGGGAATACTTCCGCAATGACGAGGAGACAGCCAAGGCTGTCGATGCCGACGGCTGGTTCCACACTGGAGACATTTGCACCGTCGACGAACTCGGCCGCTTCAAGATCATTGACCGCAGGAAGAACGTCCTCAAGCTTGCACAGGGCGAGTACATTTCGCCTGAGCGCATCGAGAACCTCTACCTCGCAAACTGTACCTACCTGGCCTCGGGCTACGTCCACGGCGACTCGCAACAGTCCTTCCTTGTTGCCATTTTCGGTGTTGCGCCAGACCTGTTCCCGCAGTTTGCGTCCAAGGTCCTTGGTGAGACGATTCCCGTGGGCGACATGCAGAAGCTCAGGGAGGCGTGTCAGAACAAGAAGGTCCAGCAGGCTGTGTTGAAAGACCTGGACAGGGTGGGACGCAAGAACAAGTTCAACAGCTGGGAGCGCGTCAGGGCTGTAAGGCTGTTTGTGGATCCTTTTACGATTGAGAACCAGCTCTTGACACCAACGTAAGTTTTTTTTTTCTTTCTAGTCATACGAGATGGGATGACATGATGTGCTAACAAGATGTAGATTGAAACTGAAGCGCCCGCAAACGGTCAAGGCATTCAGACAGCACTTGGATGACTGCTACGAGGAGGCACTGGCTGAGGAGGCTGCACCTAAGGCGAAGCTGTAGAGGATTGATTTTTTTTTTCCTGTATGCTTACTATGTGTTTGGTGTGTCAGCGGGCGGACATTGGGCGTCCTCCTGCAGCATGTGTACCATGGAACTATAGGTAGATCGTCGTAATGCACACACGTCTTTAGTGAGACCTGGTGGCATCTGCTCAACTAGCACATTCATCTGTTCATGCCGTGACGAGGAAAATTGCAGTTTGATGAACGCATAAACGTAGATGGCCGAGGTGGGAAGGCGGTGAAGGGCTGGCGACAACGTGTCACGGGCAGAAGTGGAGTGTAGCGCAGTGGCACGAGCAATCACGGGGCGCCAAGTCATGTAGTAATGACGCAGGGTCCTCTTCTTTCTCGGGCCCAAGGTTGTTTCTGGCTACGGCCGTGGGTGCGATCCTTTGGTTCACGCAAACAACAACAACACCCGCCCGCCCCGTGGCATCCTCCGCTCTCAATCCCAGTCCTTGCTTTCGCTGCACGAGGTGCTCCGCCTGGCCGCAGTCACTTTTTGGACCCTTAACTAGCGAGCAGCGACCATGCCAACCACACGCGCAACTACACTGGCCATGAGCGAGGACATGGAGGAAGCTGCTCGCCCGCGCCCATCGCGCTTCAAGGAGCATACAAACACAAACAGCACCATTCGCCCGCCGCCCGAGGAACTGTGGAAAGACGTTGCCATTGACGATCTGATTGAGCAGTACAACGAGGATAATGCGCAACCGCCCGTGTCGAGAAAAACATCTGCGAACCATGCGGCGCGCACAGCCAGACCTGCGCCCGCAAGGACGAACTCGGGCTCCTCGAACTCGGATCGCTCTCGCGAGTCGTCGGCCCCAGCGCAGGCCAATTCGGCCTCTGGACCGGGCGAGGGCACGTATGCGCGCATACAGCGCGCTTTTGCGTCCATGTTCGGCAGCGTCCTGGGCAAGCGCAAGGCCGGCAGCATGGATGCTGAGCGAGATAGAGAGCAGCAGCTTCATCAGCAGCTGCTTGACGAGCGCAAGAAGGCTGCTGAAATCGCCTACTATGAGGCCAAGGATCGTGGCCTCCTTCCAACGCCAAAGGTGTTTGTGCGACCAGCCATGGCTGCCAGAGCCAATCTTCAAAACGCCGAAAAGATGCAGCTCGGCTTGACGACAGAACTGGTCGAGGCCGCAACTCCAATGCGCATACCAGGCACGCCACGGACGCCAGGCCTTCACCACACGCCCAGCAAGAAGGACCTGCAGAAGCAAAAGAAGCTCAGCAAGCGCGTCTCGGACCTCGAATTCAAGCTCGCCTCTGCCCGCAAAGAGCTCCACACCGTCCTCTACAACGACCTACCTCCTGCTCCCCCCGTCCCCAAATTCGCACCACCCACCCCCGACGTCACCCAGAGCGAAAACGAGCCCGCCTCGCCCGAAGCCCGCACCTCGACCTCATCCAACAACGCCACCGCCCCACGAAGCATGGGCCGCATCCTCAAAAAGCGCAAAACAACCGCCGCTGCCCACGACTCGGACACAGATTACAAACCCCTTCCCACCGATTCCGAAGGCGACACAGACATGCTCTCCGTCCCTTCTGCCTCTGAATACGAAGCCGAGCACGACAACGACAACGACGATGACGACGAGCCATCAACCAAGCACGCCAAATCTTCCGCGTCTCGCAAGAAGAACAAGAACTCCAAGCGCCAGAGCTCCCGCCTTCGCAACAAGTTCTCGAGAAGCAGCTTCAAGCAAGATAAACCCGTTTGCGTTGTCCCCGATGGCGTCAACGTCCCCGACGTACCTAGCTTGCCGCAAGATGTGCAGGATGAGGTTAAGAGTAGGGCGAGGAAGGGGGGTAGAGATGATGGGTATGGAGGGTTGGGTCATGAGATTTTTTAGAGCGAGGTCATGGTGAAGGGAGGGGGGAAAGAGTGGGTGAGTCGGATTGCGCTTGGAGGTGAAGAAAAGTTTCGATTCTTGTGTATAGCCTTTTTTTTTCCTTTCTTGGGGAGTCGTTGTTTACCTCCCATGCCTTATTCTTCCTACTCGCATCCTTGTCGACTGAAATGGTTGAGGAGGAAGAAGAGTGCTGCGGAATTGGGTTGGCCCGACCTCTCTCTTTTTTTTAAACGGGGTTTTGAGGGTATTCTCTTTTTTTTTTTTCTCTCTTCTTGTCTTTCCTTTGTCATTGTTTGCATTTTCGTCTTACTGTCTTTGCGGGGGTTTTTTTTCGTTCCTTCGGGGAATGACTACAAATCTTTTTTTTAACGAATTGCAACGATGGTTATGACTTGAGCTTTTTTTTCGGGGAATATATGGATTTGGTATATTCATTTTTTTTTCTCTTTCTCTTTCTTCCTTTTAAGGTTTAATTTGGGAGTAAGGGCAAGTATGTAGATATCAAATCGGAGGATGTCTACTTATTTGGTGATGTGATTTGGTGTTGTATGGCAGAGTAGTATTCGATCTTAGAAGGTTTGACGAGAGAAGCGTGGGAGGACTGGTTGTAGCCGCTCTTGCTCCCCTTTTTTTTCCAATCTCGATCGACCATGTATATCCCAAGGAAGGCAGAGATTGGCATGCTGAAGACCCTACTGAAAAAAAAATTGATCAAGTGACTTCTTCACGTCTAGTCTTGCAGAATTTAACTTGGGAAAACCTTACCAGCAATGTCTGTTTACATATTCCCTGAACTATCGAGAATATATTACTAAAGTTACGAGTATGAGAGTGCGACTTTAGAGCTATATGGAGCCAATAGCTTGAGTGATGCAGTGAGGAGTCTTGGTGAATTGAATATGAGCTGTGGAGTTATCAAAGTAATGACTGCTCATCGGAAGAGTTAGGGTCAAAAAAATTGCGAATGTCGAGTCGTACAATTATTCACGTATGTTTGGTTTGAGAGAGCAGAATGTCTAATGGGGATTTCCGACATTTACAATGAAGTGGCTTTTCACAGAAGGTGTTTTCATGGTTAGCAATAATATGTACGATGATCTATCCAATCTCTACTATGCGCAACAGGTCTAGTCTCCAAGATTGCTGCGCGAGTATACTTTGCTGATACTACAATTTCATGCCTACGACGTCCATGCAGAATTAACCTCTAGGCTATTCCTTTGCCACCGTCCAGAGAACACACATTGGTATTTGCTACAATGCAAAAAGGGCCAGTCTATTCAATAGCTCGGACGAGGTCTGCCTTTGCACCACAATTGATACATTTTGTTTTGCTACGACAGAAAACATGTACTCTAGAACAGAGTGTCCGGTCATAGTTTACGTAGTATACCAAAAGTGAGGATTCTATATTGAAAGCGTATAAATAGTGCCAGAGAAGGGGTATGGCGTCAGGTACGTATCTCCAGAACTACCCGCTGCTGACTGCTAGCTCCCGGATGTAGTAAGGGAGATGCTGGCACTCATCACATAACTTTGTGCTAGCTAAACATGGTGAATTCTGATTGTCTTAGTATAGATTCACAAGGAGTAGTAGTAGAGGCTCTTGGTATCTTATCGGGTAGAGCGGAAAGCTTCATTGTGGCCCGGTAATAATACTAGGTTGGCGGCCTGCAGACAAAGCATACTATATGAGAACTGAAGAACCGATGGTATTAGATGGATCAGACGGTTTCAATTGCTGTCAGCCGCGACAAATTGTGCTGTATGTAGGGTGCGATTGATAGAGAGCGTCTGGCGTTGTGTAGTAATGACGTGATAAGTAGACGTTTATGTCGAGCCACGAAAACGCTACACTAGAATGCCGAGAGTGCCAAGGTGGTCAATGAAACAACGACATGACTGGCGCAAATGCCCGCTATCCTCTTTGAAACACTACGGTAAATAACCCATGCTAGAAATTACCCCCCCGGACATCTGCCACCGGCCGTAAACGGCACCTCTTTCTCCACACCCCACAAGCCCTATCCGTTAAACCTTCCAAACTTTCCACCAACTATGCACATACCCAATAAAGCCACAACGAGATATTTACACATATATTGAACAGTTTTAGCCGCACGGACGGGCGGAATCACGATTAACGAACATGCGGAGTAGGAGGTTGATTGACAATGGACTGGGGGGGTGGTAGTAGTCCAACTAGCGCCTGGGCTTTCTCACTCAAATTAACGGAGAAATTCCAGGGCGGGCACGCGTCACTTTGATGGAAACATAGCCGCAAGCCATGTGGAACCACAGAAAGAATCTGGGGTAAAGTGCTACGGCTGGGCGGAATTATGGAAATGGTGTACATGTATATAAGGGGTGGGGGAATGGGCATCTCATATTTCCCACCTTTCTCCCTTTGCTCTTTTAGTCCAATTCTCCTGAAAGTGGTGAAAGAGATAACGACACTGAAAACCATGTTGTCGAAAATAATGAAGCAGTTGGCACTGCCACTTGCCATTCTATCTCTCTGTACATATCTCCCCATCTCACCCCCTCCTCCATCGCAATGCCATGCCAAACTGACCCACTCCACCCAATAGTCATCTCCTTCGCCAGCGCGCTCCCCACCGATGCCGCCCTCGAAGCCCGCCAAACAAAATCCCTCCGCATCCTCCCCCTCGGCGACTCCATAACCTGGGGCTATATCAACGGCGGTGGCTCAAACGGCTACCGCGAGCGCCTCCTCAACGACCTGAGCTCAGGCGGCTACACCGTCGACTTTGTCGGCACCCAGAAATCCGGCACCATGGCCGACAAGGACAACCAGGGCTTCCCGGGCTACACCATCAACCAGATCCGCGGCGTCGCAGGAGGCGGCCTCAACTTCCGCCCCAACGTCGTCCTCATCCATGCCGGAACCAACGATCTCAACCGCGGAAACCCGTCGTCGGAGCCGGATGCGGATGCCCCGCGCAGGCTGGGATTGCTGATTGACGATGTGCTCAAGGCTGTGCCGAATGCGGTTGTTATTGTGGCCAAGATTATTCCGTCCAAGAGGGCTAGCTTGACGAATACCATTCGCACCTTCAACAACGCATTGCCTGCGATTGTGTCGGCGCGCGCGAGCAAGGGGTCCAAGGTCTCGCTTGTGGATATGGGCGTGTTGAACCCTAGCAGCGAGTTGAGTGATGATTTGCACCCGTAAGTAGATATTCCGTCTTATTTCTAGGCAGGCATGCATGAGCTAACTTGGATTGATAGCAACGTTGCTGGGTACAACCGCATGGGAGATATCTGGAATGCGGGCATCAGGGCTGTGGCTGGATCTATTCCTGCTTAGGCGGGTGTTAGTCTGAAGACTTTTTGTATATAGATTGGATGATGATGCTTGAAGGCATAGTACATAAGTATGGTTTAGGTGGACCAACGAAGAATGATCAATGCCATTTGATGTCCTGAAAATCAATCGTGTCGTTATTTTACATGAGTGAAGTACCCTGGTAGAAAGATACACTAAGACACATACTATTTTTACACTATCTTTTTTGTCGATCTAAAGGTTTATTCCCTGTCTATACCGCAACTATCGAGGAACTAGGAGACACACCTGGTTTCTACTTGGCAATCTCAACGCCACTGGTAGCACCTGCGCGTAATGTCAGTCTTGTCTTTGGTGGATAAAAGGATCACCAGAATCGAAATACTTACCCAACGCCCTCTTGATACTTCCGTACAGAGCAAACTGACCCGCAGTAAGGCCACCCACCATGAAAAGACGAGTAGGAAGACCCGCAAAAGAGCCCCGGATACCCAGCTCTCCAGCAATCTTGATCAAACGCGAGACGGTGCTCTCTCCGGGAAGACCCCGTGTCTTGTTGATCTTGGAAAGCATGGTATCGGCAGGCTGCGACACAATAGCAGCAGCGAAACCAGAAAGAAGACCAGAACCCAGATTGACGGTGGTCTGGGCACCATTTGACATTGTCGACTTGTCAAAGAGTGCGAAAATGGCCTCGGAAATCTTTTCGAAAGCGACGAATTTGGTGATTGTGTACGGGACCCTTTATGACTCATGTCAGCCTCTCTCGCCGAGCTTCCCATTCTAATGGTGGAAGAAGAAGAAGAAGAAGAAGAAGAAGTTGGTATCGTAATGACTTACTGCTTAAAAAGAATAGGACCAAAGCCAGAGTAAAAAGCACCCACACCCTCTGTCCTGAGAATCTTCCCAAACCCACCAATCAAGCCATTCGCGAATCCTGGTGTCGACACCAGACGAATCCGCGTCGCCTCAAGCGGACACAGCGCTATCGAGGCAAAGAACTCTGCGCAACCCGCAGAAACCGAGTACACGGCCGCACGATGCTGGCGCGCCTTTTCCAGCCCCAGCAGATTAATCGATTGTTTCTTGAAGAACTCGTAGCCCCCGAACTTGAAGGCGCCTTGCATAAAGTATCCCGCAAAGGTAGGACCGAACCCCGTGGCAAGCGCTCGCACGCCTTCGTTCTGGATGACCTGGCGGAACCCGCCGATCATGCCGCGGTTGTAGGTCGCGGGGTCGAGTTGGATCCTCGTTTTGACGCTAAACAGAAAAAAAATGTTGGTGTTGGGTGAAGGTGGAGGAGTCTGGGAAATCAAGGAGATACTCACACATCGACTGGTGTGAAAGCACCGTGGGTAACTGAGCAACCCAGCGCACCAGCGAATGCAAAGCGAGCGTAGAGGTCGACACCTTCCGGTGTTTTCTGCTGGATGTGCGGAGCCATCGTGGTTGGTGGGCGGGTGGTGTATGTAGTTGCGGTAAGCAAAAAGTCGAGGCGAGACGAGGAAAAAAAAGGGAAAACAGGTCAGCTGGTGGGTTTATAAGACTTATGTCAGGGCGTATACATCACAAGGAGCAGCACGAGTTAAAGCCGGAAGAAGAAGGAGAAAGAAAGAATGGGCCATTGCAAGGCCCCCAGCGCGCTATGTCGCACTTTGAGCCTGGACATGAGGTTAATGTACGAGAGCTGCTTGGTGGGATCTACAGGCACCCGGTTGCGTATTTCGGGGTGGCATGTTCCGAGTACTTTGTTCCTGCAGCAGGTGCAGATGGCCGAGAGAAGCATAGCAGGTCGCTGTGAACTCCTGATGAGGTGGTTGCGTCGGACACTTGACTTAAGTCCGCTCGTTAAGTCCGAAGCCAGTGATAGGAACATGTTGGTCGGGTACCAAAAGCTCGGATTTACCACTTCTTTGCATGCTATCGTCGCACCGTGCTTGAAGCGCCGACTAGACCAAGATGAGGCGCATCTTTGGCGGCATTGCATACGAATCTAGAAAGCAGGTTAGAGCAAGGAATAAAACGAGTAGTTGGCAACCAAGGACAAAGCAAATTTCTTTGTCAAAACTTGAGTGAGATGCAAGTGCCGTGATTGAAAGTATGAATTTGTTCAGCTGATATTTTGCTACCAGTGGATCTGTAGATCATCTTTTACCCTAACGCCGTCGCTCAAGAATGTAATGCAAAACGTTCACCTTCCGTGGCGCATGTCGCGTCTTGTCCTTGTCTCTAGCCCTTGCTTCTTCGTTGTTACCCTTAATCCTTGGGCAGCATATCCTGCTCGCTACCGTCTCTTGGTACGTAGTTGACGCCAGCGCTCTCGATCAAGCCAATAATATCATCGGGGAGGATGCCTTCGACCTGAGTCGCGTACACACCCGGCTGGTAGCCCTCGAGGCGCTGGTACCTGGCCACCCAGCTCTTGGTGGTGTCTGCAACGGTGATGAGACCCTCAAACACTTGCGAGGTACAGTCGTTGATCTGCTCCGGGTTGCCGGTGAGCTCGAGAAACTCCTCGCAGTTGGGGCAGCCCTGGGACAGGAACTGCTGCTGGGTGCGGACAATGGAGCAGACCATGCAGGCGCGCATGTTGCGCTGCTGGTTCGGGGGGATGTACGCGCCGCCAGCCATGTTTTCGTCGGTGTCGGACTGTCTGCCGTCGGGTGTGCGATTTGTGGGCGCGTTGTCTGGGCCTCGATGTTGATGTTGACCGCGGCGTGTATTCGGTGACGACGGCTCTGGTGCGTGCGGCTGGTTCTGAAGATGGCAGGAATGGCTTGTGGCTGATCCAGGAGGATGATAGGCAGGAGTGCCGGGGAGAGGAGGGACAGGCTGGGTGTTGGTGTTGTAAGGAAACAGTGTGCTACTACTGCTAGTCCTTTGTTCCACGGTCCCAGAAGCTTGGCGAGGCTGGCGGCGCTCTGGCTCTGGCTCTGGCCCTGACTCTGTTGTGCAGGGGTTTAGTGGCTCGCGTGAGGTTGCACCATCGGCATTAGCATTGAGATTCGCATCCTCCAGACACTGGCCTGGCCGGTTGTTTTGACAGACATGTCTGCTGTCTCCCGTTGTGTTGCTCGCTGCCGAACTGAGCTCTTGACCGTCTTGGCCAGTCCTGGGATGGGCATCGCCTTTGGTCGTCGTCGACTTGACCATGGCCGTGCCCTTACGCGCCATGCCGGCTAGTTGGGGCCGGGACCGCTGGCTGGCCTGTGGCGCTGGGGGGGACAATCTAGTGGCAAGGCGAGGCGAGCGAGCGAGGGCGGGACGGAATTGATTGATGACTTTTGGCGGGCACTGCGGGCAACGAACCTTCTCGCCTTTTGTGGTGCGTCATTGTTTGTGTCTGCCTCTTTTTTGTCTCTATTGCAATCGCCAACAAACCGCACCTGTGCCTGTCCGCTGCGCTTGCCCTGCAGTCGCAAGCCTGAGCATCCCACTGCTACGGCCCGTGCCGCCTTCCATCGACACACCATGGGGAGCCCGCCAGCTGAGGCCGTCCAGCTCAAGGACGAGGGCAACAAGGCCTTCAAGAACCAGGAGTGGGACAAGGCCCTCGAATTCTACACAAAGGCCATCGAGGCATACGACGCAGAGCCCTCCTTCTACACCAATCGCGCCCAGGTACGCTGCCTGCCTGCCCCCCACACACACCAAGCCCGACGGTATGCTAATCTGCGCTCCAGACATACATCAAGCTTGAACAGTACGGATATGCTATACAAGACGCAGACAAGGCCATTGAACTCGACCCCAACAATGTCAAGGTACCAAATCCCCCACCCTTGGTTGCTTGCCGTGGCGCTCACCACTTTCCCCGCAGGCATACTTTCGCCGCGCCTCGGCCAACACGGCCATCCTCAAGCATCGTGAAGCCCTCCGCGACTGGAAGCTCGTCGTCAAGAAAGCCCCCAACGATGCCAACGCAAAGCTGCGCATGGCCGAGTGCGACAAGATTGTCAAGCGGGACGCCTTCCTCAAGGCCATTGAAGTCGAAGATGCGCCCTCGGCCGCAGAGGGCCTGGACCTCGAACACATGGTCGTCGACCCTTCATACGACGGCGCAAAGCTCGAGGACAAGATGACCCTCGAGTTCATAGAGGACATGATTGAAAGATTTAAGAACGGAAAGAAGCTGGCCAAGAAGTACGTCTACCAGATCATCATCGCCGTCATGGACATTATCAAGAAGGAGCCCACCATGGTCGAGCACGACGTTGAGCAAGGTCATGAGATTACAGTCTGTGGTGACACGCATGGTATGTTGCACAAGTCCAATCTTCATCTACTGCTTACCAATAACCCCAGGCCAGTTCTTCGATCTCATGGAGATTTTCCGTCTGGCAGGGAAGCCATCGGAAAAGCATGCATTCCTCTTCAACGGTGACTTTGTCGACCGAGGTTCCTGGTCCACTGAAATCGCACTGCTACTGTACGCCTACAAGTGGCTATACCCCAACTCATTTTTCCTCAACCGAGGCAACCACGAAACAGACGATATGAACAGGATGTACGGTTTCGAGGGAGAGTGCAAGGCCAAGTACACCGAGCGTGTATTCAAACTCTTCTCAGAGTCCTTCTCAGCCCTCCCTCTAGCAACTCTTATTGGCAAGAAGTACTTCGTGCTTCACGGCGGTCTCTTCTCAGATGACCAAATCACCTTGGACGATGTACGAAAGCTCAACCGATTTAAGCAGAGGCAACCAGGCCAATCCGGCCTTATGATGGAGATGCTGTGGACTGATCCCCAGACGAGCCCAGGCCGAGGACCAAGCAAACGTGGCGTTGGCCTACAGTTTGGCCCTGATGTCACCAAGCGCTTCTGCGAAAACAACGGTCTTGAGGCCATTATCCGATCGCACGAGGTACGCATGGGAGGCTACGAGGTGGAGCACGACGGACGTTGCATAACCGTCTTCTCGGCCCCCAACTATTGCGACAGCACCCACAACAAGGGCGCCTTTATCAAGATTGGGCCAGACTACAAACTCAACTTTACCCAGTTTGATGCGGTTGCGCATCCAAACATCAAGCCCATGGCCTACGCATCACAGGGTATGGCTGGCATGATCTAATGAAATTTGCAACAAATTGGATTCTGTCAATGTTCGTAGCGACGCATATTTTGGTGTTCCTCGGCGCATCAGCATAACGGAATCGCTTGGGCTGTGTTTGATCTTTCGGGACTGGTTGGGATGGAATGCTGATATACGACTGTACTATAGAGACCTCAACGTAGGGTCGATTTCAAGTGTCGAAACTCATGACTGGATGAAGACAAGAATACAACTGTACTATTGACCCGGCATCATGAATCGCGCGTGCGTTGCCCCTCACATGCCGCCCCACGCGTTGTCTTCCTAATGTGGTTAAATCTGTTGACAAACAGGGGTTCGCAGCATTCATCCGCCAACTTGCAAACAGAGCGCCCGGCCGAGCGCGTACATACACGATCCAGATACATACTGTGTGACTTTGCGCCACAGTCATTTTTCACAATCCAGATATCAGCAATGTAAAGCTTATCTCGTCTGCGCAAACACAATGTCGCCGTATCAACATCTCTTCTCCACTAATGCCGTCCTGGGTGTTTGGCGCAACCTCCGTAACACCAAAGACAACAACGATCTCTTGCTCACCTTGCAGTACCACCAAGACGATCTCCAGAGGCAAAGGGGAAAGAAATATACCAAGGGGGGTGTTTCAGAAAGTACACAAGAGGTTGCAGATGGAAAGACAGTGGATGTGGGTGGAAAGAGCATAGGCTTCGTAGTACCATGGCGGGCAATGCAGAACCAAAGACGGGAGCTGAAGGAGAAGGAGAAAGAGCTTGCTGAAGCGCTTGTGGCACTTGCTGGAGAAGTTGCCTTTACTGGTATGCACTTCAAGACTTGATATAGCCATCAATATAGTCAAGTCTGCAGAGGCACGCGCACATGCTGACACCTTGGTAGATCTTGCGCCAACTCTTCAGTCTTCTCTTACTCAGAATCCGCTGGTTCAGATTCGCCACCTCGCAGCCGGCCTCTCACGTCAAATGTCCAAAATAGAATTTCAGATGATTGACAATGCCCCATTCGCCAATGGCAAAAACCTATATACAGGTGGAGAGGTGGCCCAGAAGTTTCTTCCCTCTATCCAGGCACTCTTTGAGCAAAAGCCCGTTCCACAGCGCATCATCTTTGAGCTATTAATGGAACTAAAAGACCTAGTCTACATGGCTATGGCAGGTTGCTCAAAAGAAGTGCTAGAGCATGAAGTAGACAGCACAGGAACCAGCTCCCTAGAAGAACTCGATGACGCAATCGTACGAGCCATCACACCTCTATCACCCCTCCTCGAATCCCACCAGCCAAAAGAATTAGAACAAAGCCACAAACGCTCACTCCACCGTAAAGCTTCAAGCCTCCTATCCAAATCCTCCAAGCAAGATCAGCAATCAGCATCTTTTCTCCAATCTGCCCCTGAAGAACTCCTTTACAATCTCGAATCCCTCGAGACCACCGCTATGGCTTTGACAAAACTTCCCCTCTCCCTCCCCGACTTCTGCGCACACGCCATTATCACTCTGCGACGTCTGACGCCCCGCCCGCTTCTCTTGGATTTCTCGCAGCAAAAGAAGGAGAAGAGGGTGCAGAAATGCGCCGAGTATGCGCGGTGCAACAAGTGGGCTGGGGCGCAATGGCGGCAAAATGGGGGATGTGGACGGGGATGTAAGAATGAAGATGAGGATCCCGAGGGTTTGCCTAGTTGGCATCGGTGTAGTAGGTGGTTTGATGAGAGGGGGGGTGGGACGTGTATGGTTGGTGGGGGGAGGGCGGTGTTGAGGGAGGATGGGTTTGGGGTTGTGAGGATGACGGCGGTGTGAGGGGCGGGGGTCTTCTTGGGGGATGTTTGTATAATGAGACTTGGGCGCGGTGATATACCCTCTTTTTCTTCTTCTCTTGACCGGCTGGTTAGTGTTTGGTGAGTAGGATCATGTATGTATGTTATTTTACGAACTTAGTCTTATTTATGAGTTATATGTTAATACTTTTCGTAAATCAGAGCATGGAATCTCTATAATCTTAGAGACCGAAAAAAAAAGACTGTACTGTCGTAGAAATCTTAACATGGCCTAAATCAACCATACACTTTAGGTTTCTGGACACTAATCCCTTGCCTTGCCTCACAACAACAACAACAACAACAACCATATTGTAACACATCCACAGCGCCGCCAATTATCTTTACTTTGACCTCCCTTAACCCCCCCCCCCCCCCCCCCCCCCCCCATCGATATGGGGGCCAAAACTATACCGCATGCATGCCCCCCAATCACCTCCTTCTCCTCGGATCCTCCCGATAAATATGCGTACCAGGAGGTAGTCTACTGACCGTTTCCTCCTCCTGCCCCCGCATCACCACATCTTCTCTACCCCCCGACCCCGCCACATCAGCCGACAGACGGCGACTTGCACTCTGCATTCCCGCCTCCCTCTCTGTGCCCCGTTGACCCACTTCATCCTCTTTCATAACCACATCCCCCTGCTCACGCGCCACCAGCGCCATCTCGTCACTCGGGACAGGCAGTCCAGCGTACCGTTTCGTAAGTTCCTCAAAATTAAGCTCGCGTTTCGCTACGGCGGCTTCTTCATCGTGGATTAAGTCGCGCAGGTCAGAGCATAGGTTGCGTACTTCTTCTGGTAATGTCGGGTTTGAAGGGTCTTTTCCAGCAGAGGTTTGGGTAATGGGTAAGAAGACGGGATGTGGGGTTGCTGATGGGTTGATAGGAGCGGCGATGTGTGTGTAGAGTCCTATGCCTTTGATGGAGGGTTTGGTGGTTGGGGTAGGAGGGGCTTTGAAGAGGTTGATTATGTCAGAGTTAGTGCGGGACTTTTGTGCTTCGGCTGCATTGTTTTGGGTGGTGTTGGTGGTGCTGGTGGAGTAGGGGTCGGTTGAGTAGGGCATGGTGGCGGTCTGGCATATGTTAGTTGCTGTTACTTTAATTCAGACCAAAGGATGAGACGAATAGAGAAATATTGCTCAATCTTAAAATGGATTATGCAAACTCTATGGTTATGTTTTATGTTGATCACGCCTGGCATCGTATTGTAGTAAGAAAACTTGACTTTCTCATAAAAAGACAAGAAGAAACTTACTGGCACACTTCCTGCAAGTTTTTCAGCTTGCACAGCCATGGCAGTAGATGCAATGGCAATCCTTGATGCATGTCATGCAAGGGCCCGTCGCGTACTAGCGGATGAAGTTGAGATAGAACCCATGCATTATTACAGCCACGCTAGCCCTAATCCATCATAGTCGACCGACCTCTGATCAACGCGTCATTCCCATGTCAATGTATTCGATCTACCTTCGATCTACTCCACAATGTCTGAGCAACGCGCCGAACGTGCAGAAGTGCTGACATCAAGCAAAAATGGCATTGGTTGCCATATTTCCTGGAAGGGACTAACGTCATTGCACAAGATTGCTTTTGGCCTGGCCAACCAGGCAATGATCTCAGAGCCAAATAGCTAAAGAGAGCGCATGAGAGCATCCTGTGACATATGTAGCAAGCATGCATGCAGCAAGGTTATTTAGAATAAGGATCTCCCTTTATTCTTGCTCCAGTCAAAAAACCTCGGTCCTGACACCACGCATATCCGTAGCTAGATTCACTTCAACTTCGCCCAAAACTACTCCATCTAATAAGCCAAACACCGACCGCTTCGCTGGCCCAGTGGAAACCCCAACAAACAGCACCATGCAAGCCATCAAAAACACAATCGCCGAAAACCTCGGCAAAACAATCTCCGGGGCGCACTCCCTCGCACCCACAGACCAGCAATTCTCCCTCGAAGAAGTCCCCGACCTAAGCGGCAAAGTCGCCGTCGTAACCGGCGGCTCCGAAGGCATAGGCTACGGCTGCACACACACGCTCCTCTCCAAAAACATCTCCAAACTCTTCATCATCTCCATGAGCAAAGATATCGCCTCAGACGCCACCTCAGCCATCGCCCAAGAGCTCGGCCAAGACAAAGCCTCGCGGGTAGAATGGCTACAATGCGACCTCTCAGACTGGCCAGCCGTGAGCCGCACTGCCTTTGAAATCACAAAGAAAACAGATCGTTTAGACATGCTCATCAACAACGCCGGCCGCGGCATAATGACCTACCAACTCGCCTCCAACGGCGTCGACCTGCACATGGCCACCAACCTCATGGGCCACGTAGTCCTAACCTCGCACTTGCTCCCTCTCCTCAAATCCACCGCTGCCACCGGCACCAAAGTCCGCATAGTGCAGCTCGCATCTAACGCGCACCAAAGCGCCCCTAGCGACACTGCTTTCGCCTCCCTTGAAGAATTAAACCAGGATCTGGGCCCTAACGCCCAATACGGCCGCTCAAAACTCGCTGATATCTTATATGCCCGCTACCTAGCTAGACACCTCGCGTCGTCCCATCCAAACGTGCTGGTCAACGCCACGCATCCCGGTGTAGTCGAGACACGGCAGTCTGTCGAGCACATCCACGAGGCGTATCCGCTTGCGGGTTATGGTGTCAGTGTAGGCTTGGCACCGTTCAAGAAGACGCAGTTTGAAGGTGCCGTAAGTACCATGTTTGCGGCGACCAAGACGGAGGCGAGTGGACAGTATGTTTGTCCCCCCGCCATTCCGGAGGAGGGGAGTGCCATGTCGCAGGATGAGGAGTTGGGCGAGAGGCTCATGCGGTTGACGGAGAAAGTAGTCAGGGAGAAGACAATGGGGGAGAGCGCAGGGAAGGGGTGTCCGTTCAAGATGTATTAGATTCCGTTCTGTTTGTGTATGTAGTACTGGCCCAGAATAAAATGGCCTAGTGTAATCAAAGCTTCAATTTACCATCGTCCCCCCCCTTCCTTTCACCAATGAATACGATCTAAGTTATACCCTGTATGCTAGACATCGAGACCAAGAATTTTACTTCATTGAAGGGGGTGGGGATAGGAAAGTCGTAAACTCATATGGCCGTATCCTCTCTAGCCATGCATAGAGAGAGAAAAGTAGATAGAGAGAGCCATTGGTATCGCTGAAGCGCCTTGACAAACTTGTACATGCGAAACAAAAAAAACAACTTTGCCCGCTCCATCAAAGTTGAATGAACAAAACAAAGAAATACGAAGCGCTGTTTCAAGATGCCGAAAAAAAAGACTAGGCAATACCTTCCATACCCATTGGCACCTGAAACCCGCTCAACCCCTCGCCCGCACTCGTCAGGCGTGCACAAAGACTCAAAAACACGACCGTCTCCGTGGCAGCGAGATAATTCAATGTATCCAGCAAAATCTTAAGATGCCTTGTGAAATTCTCTTCGTACTTGGCTAGCATGTCGAACATCTTGTCGACACGCTGGGGGTCGTACACAAACTGCGTGGTGGTGGGTCTATGCGTAGCATTGAGCAGTGGGGCCGCAGGAGTGGGGTTTTTCGAGGATTTGGAAGTTTGGGATGATGGTTGTGACTGGGGAGGAGGTGCAAAGGTGGCGTTGATTTGGGCGACGAGGTCCGGGTCGCCGGTTACAAGGTAGCGGGATAGCGAGTAGGTGAAGGAGGCGAACATAGAGCATGTTTGCATGATCTTGTTGTTGATCTGGAGAGTTTTGTTAGCATGGGGAGTGAAAGGCACTAAGGGTCATGCAGCGCTTACTCGCAGCAGCTTACTGTTAGTAAGCATGCATTCTTTCAAACAGGTTGCAAGAAAATCAACATGATCCTGCATCAGTTCGTCCACTGTTCGCTTCACTTGGGGTCCGCCGCTTTCGTCCTCGGTCATCCTGCCCTTGGCCCTTGCGTCTTGGTTCTTCTCCTCGCTTATCCGCGACATCAATGAGGTCCAGTTTGGCTCAATGACTTCCGATGTACAGTAGTATGTAAGTTGTTGCACAAAGACCAGCATACGTGCACGAAGTGTCCACGCTCGGCGTTTCCACTGTTCAATACGAGGGTTCCTTGAACGATGTTTCCAGGCGGCATTCTTGCCCTGCTCTCCCCAGCACTTGGCCAGGTCCGTTTCTAGGTGCTTTAAACTCAGGAGGTATCGGAAGAGTAATTGGTAGCGCGTGAGTGTGACCCTGCTGACCACCAGTGACAGCGGGAATGGCATGGCGTAATCAAAGACCAGCGCTTGGTATCCTGTAATGTTGGTATCGTCTGTAATAGGCGCGGAGTTTGCTGGTGTATAACTCGATAGTGTAGCACTAGCAGTTTCCTGGTCCAGACCCTGCACATTGACAATCTTCATGAGCCAATTCGTCAGGCCAGTATTGTTAATCTGGACCTTGATATCTTCCTTGTATGGGTCTTCGACGGCAACTGAACCAGCATGACGTGTGGCGAGATCCAAGAGAGACTGCAGCTTGCCGACATTAACGTGCTTAGCTGGCTTCTTGAGCTCAAGCTCACTCATCTCAAGGAAGTAGGTGAAGAAGTCGGATCGGTCGAGGAAGAAGTAGTGTTTCAGTGAACGTAATCGTGCCGGTAGTTGATGTGTCGTCAGGAGCAGGTTGAGAAGCGACGAGTTTGCGTAGGCGTATGAGGAGTTGACATTGTCCAGAAAGCGAGGATCATCGAAACTAGTTGGCGCGTCCTGCACAATCTTGCTAACGTCGACGCCTCCACACTCGCGGACTACGTTCAGGTATTTGCCTGCCAGTAGCACTTTGTCCTTTACTGCTTCGAGTTGTGGTGGAACAAGGTTATCGCGTATGGTATATCTCTTCTCCCAATATTCATCCGTGTAATCTTGATCTAACCGCTCGCGCTTTATGCTCCTCTGCTCCTTGATCAAAAACTCGGAATGTGGGTCTTTGATGCCGCCGTGATGTAACCACTCGTTCAGCATGGCCATGTACGGTCTGCTAGCCTCTCGTAGCAGGGTAGTCAACAGTGTACGCGCTGCTGGATCTCCCGACATTGAAGCAAGGCGTTTAGTGACCAATCCCAGTACACTTCCACCTTTGCAGAGTTTCTTGGTCGCGTTGCCCCCTTCTCGTAACGATTCAAGAATGTTCTCAAAATCATTGCTATCGTCGTCTGCTGAATCCTCATCCTTCTCATCCTCCAGTATGCCGTTTGCCTTCAGCAATTCGATGCCTGTCGTGTAGAGCTGAAACAACATGTGACTTGTTTGTTTCGTATGCAGATTTAGCACGTGGAGGGTGAAGGACTCGTTGGCCAAGAGCTGGTGTTCGAGCTGGGCTACGAGCGTGAGATAGTCTTTTAGCAACCGACGCACAGCAGCACACAAGGCATGGTTGACAGCACCGTACTCTTCCCTACTCAGAACTTCGACACATGCTTCGACAGCAATGTAGTGGGTCGCAGTCTTCAACATGGACTTGGTCAGGTCGCGCAGACTCGGGTCAAGGCCGGGCATTAGACGAAACTGGGGGCCCACCAGACGCTCCTTCTCTTCATGTGGGTTGTACGCATCGCTAAAGCGAATGTACTGCCCTTCAAAGCCCATAAAGACAAATAGCAGATCCTCAAGAATCGCCCTCTCTTGGGCCTCGACTGAGAGCTGCGCGAGCGGTGTAGGCTGCAACGACACGGGGGCGGTGGACGCGAGGGGAGGCATAGAAATACGTGTGGCCAGCGGGGCCGTCGTATGCGGTATCAGCGATGCCTGTGGCTCCCATGGCGTCTGGGGTTCTTCGGGTTGCGACTTTTGCGAGGCGGCACTCCGAGACGGTCTCTCGACATCACGCGCCGGTTTCTCTGTACGGCTTCGAGTACTCGGATGGCTCTCGCTCGAGGACTTCAGCGGCGTCTTGATGCGCCTGACCTCGGTCTCTCGCTCTCGCACCTCGCGCTTTTCGGTACGGCGCTCGCCCGTGGTGGCGCCAGTTGCGCGCATGGTGGCCGAGTGCTTCTTCGCATGCGGTGCTGTGCTGGTGGTGCGGCGGTCGTGTTCTTCTCCAAGGGCGACGCGGGGTCGCGAGGCCGACGAGTGGTTGGCATTCACGGAGCGACGTTCAGCCGTAGACAGGGATTTCATTGTCGGAACAGTGCGCGAGGACATGGCGGCGGGGAGAGCACTCCATAGAGGCTGAGGGCTATTGTGTTGCTCGTTGCTGCGCTGGGCCCATGTTTGGGCTGCAGTAGCCGTGTTGATCTTGGTCCCGCTTTCCCACGCGTCACTGCGCGCTACTCGCTAAGCGAACCATGACGCAGACCGGCCTGGCACCTGTCGCGGCCGTTGCATCGCGCCATACATGCTTAGATCCGTTGGGCTGGACGTGGCTATATATAAGTATTTGTATATATATGCATTGTCTGGGCGTGGACACGGCGTCCTCGCACTACACGCCACGCCGAAAAGAAGATACGACAAACAACTTGGAACTGTACATCTATCCCTTCTCTCCTAGCCTACATATGTTAAACCCAGAAAATAATAGAGAGCAATGCTTCTCTCGAGTACTGCTACGCGGTACAAGCGCTACATTTCATGCCAAACACGAGCCTCATGAAAAAAGAAAATATAAAAAGAAAAGAAGAAGCAGAAGAAGCCAAGGTATACCCAAAACGAGACTGGGGCCATCCAAATTGACCTGAAAAACTCCTTGCCAATGACGCGGTCCCACATTCACATCAAACCTCATATCGTGCTCTCCCCCGACCCATGACTTCGTTGCCAAACAGGCGGCCTGCATCGACACAGTACCTGGCCTCTCCTTGGCCGTCTCTTCCAACCTCACTGCCCCAGCACACCAACACTGCATCCAGGATACCGCCGAGAACACCTTCCATAGCGCCTAGAGCACCCCACCCAATTGCGGCGCTAATCAGACCAACGACGTAAGCATAAAGACTGCCCTTGTAAGGCACCGTGCCGTTGCCTAGTTGAAGCATGTGTGCGGTCGAGACCCAGCCACCAAAGCCGAGTGCTAGCGTGATGACCCAGCGAATGGCGTGGAGGAGGAGTTTGGCGAGCCTGTATGACTGTATTGATGGTCGGCCATTGTCCATGTACGATCTTGGGCCGAGGGTCGTCGTCGGGGATGCCGCAGAAATAAAATTCATTTGCGAAAGACCCAGTGCAGCCTGATTCAAAGGCACACCATGAATGGACGCAAAAGTCAGAGTGAGTGGGTTCGTCAAGGCAGCAATCGGAGTTGGCATTATCGAGTAAGCGCACATGCTGATCAAACCGGAAATTCTCCTCGGAAGGGCAATGAGCGGCAGGCGAACTACAAGAGAGATGAGCGTTGACAGACAAATCGTGCCAGCCATGGTATATGTCGCGTGGCTGAGTGAGGCTTGAACGACGGTCCTAGGAGAAGGTGCCGGAACGCTGTTGCGATGGAAGTACCACTGAGAAACTGTTGCTGCTGTAGTCGCCCTCTGCACACCTGCAATGACGGCCAAGGTCCAAAAGTAGTCCAAAAAGAACGCAATACCAAGCCACCATGTGCTTGCATCGATGATCCACCGAGACTTGTTGCCTGCAAAGTGACCCCCAAGAAACAGACGTGTGAACATGAGAATCCAGATCCAGGACCAGAGAATGACAGCGGCCAGTGTTGCAATGCCCACAAGGAGCAAGGGGAACTGCGCTCTCAGGATTTCGCTAGAAAATTCCAACATGCCGGTGGCCTTTTCCAGTGAATGGCGCGCCTTGAGAATGGTATACACCCAGGAGCAAGCCAATAATAATGGGCCAAACGAGAGCCAGCGCATCATCCGGTCCTGAATGCTGTCGCCATGCCAGTACCCTTTGAAACTTGACACAAAAGGATAGAAGAAAAAGGACACGGATATAACCGGCACTGCCAGTAGCATCAGGCTCACCAAAGGCCGGGCAAACGACCGCAGTAGTGATAGCCATAAGACTCCAACTATGACTGAGACGAGTGTATAGACACCAATCAGGTGGAATGATGAGTGCAAGACGGTGTAAATAGTGTCGCCAAGCGGGTTCTTCTTGTTCGGTGGCGACTCTTGTAGAAACGAAATGAACCATGTGCCCAGAATGGCACATTGCACGATTATGAAGAGCTCAGCCCAGAAGAAGTTGTGGCGCGGCGCTATCGTCGGGTTTTCCGGTACGTCGTCGGGAACGGTTTGGCGATCCGGACTCATGGGCCGTGGGTGCTCAAGCAGGGTATCCTCGTCGGTCTCCTGGGGTATGGGAAGGGTATTCCGCAGCGGACTGCGCCCGCGTTTTTGCTTTGGCATATTTCGGAACTGTTGGTATGAAGGTGGTGGTTCGTCCTGATGACCTAATAACTCATTCCTATCCAGCTCTTCCATGCTTTCTCGATCTGTTGATTCGAGCTCTACATCCACCAGATTGCCTCTCCCTCTGCTGCTGCGATCGGTGGTTTCAGACAGGGGAACACTGGATTCTCGCTCTTCGTCGTGTGATTGTTTGGCGGTTGTAGACCTTCCACGCGCAGGCTTGTCACCTATCCACGAGCTCTTGATTCCCCGGCCCAAACCATACGCCGGAGCGTCGTGGTCACCCCTGTCTGCTTCTATAGTATGATCTGATCGTTGAACAAGGTCTTCTTCGACCTCGGATGATTCTGACAAGTTGCTTGCACCAAACTGCCGCCGTGAGCGCTGCAGGGCATAGTGGTCTGCCATTTCCCGGTCGTGCTCGACATGGTCGTCTTCTTCCCGGAAATCATCGGTAGCAGAATAGAACAGGGGAGCGGGCGCATTCGAGGTTCGGGAGGCAAAAGCGAAGCGGCTCATGGCCTGCGAGTTGTAAGGGTTGGGCATGTTGCGGCGCTGGAGGTAGGTCTGAGCAGCGCGCGATGAGGGACGTTGCCTTTCGGGGGTGTTGCGAGTCGAGGTCGAGTCTGGCTGGCCGAGCGACAGGCGGGACTGCGACTGGGAGAGGAACTTGGATGCATCTGTGAAGCAAGCATGTCAGTCACGCGAGTGAGGCAGAGGACCCAAGGCACGAGGCGGTGGCCTTGTCACATGTGCCTGATAAGGCGCGGGACTACTTACATTCGGAGAACATGACGGGCGAAGCGAGCGAGGAACGGGATCAGAAATGGGTGGCTTTGCAGTGGCGGCCCGGGCCTATGTACTGTGGATGCAGCCCTAGGGCAAGCGTGCAGTCCGGCGAGAGGTCAGCGGTGGTGAGGCGGACGAGCGCAAGGGTACCGGAGTACAAGAGGCAGGCGCGGATGACGCAGTCGAAGAGACATGCAGCCCGACGCGACCAGGCCGAGTGATTCAGAATGACGACGGGCGGCGGGGAGTGGTGGTGATGGCAAGTCCAGAGTAGGTGTAAGTATGGTGGTGGGAAATAGATTACTAGGGCGCTAGCACATGCGGCGCTACTGAGGCTGAAGCTATCGGACGAGTTGCTGTCGATGGGCGTTGCTCATCGTCGCAGAGCCAAGCCAGTGCGCGTCGGGTTATCGATAGCTGTCGGGGCCGGCATCCCATCCTCGTGAACAGGACAGCACTTGTACCCACGCGCCGCTGCCCGCCTGCACGCTGCCACCCACCCAGCCCGCTACCTATACCCACATTCCTCAGGCTGGCTGTTGCCTGGAGTGTTCCCCACAGCTGTACATTTCGCATGTGAATATCCTTGAGAGGGCGCGGCCGTATGCTTGGTGCCGTCACAGTCCAGACAGGACCGTCCGGAGATACTTCGGCTGATACGTCAAGCAGACATGCAGAGTACCAGCCACGGCGAAAAAACAAACAAAAGACGGATGCGACAGGCATACTGCTACGACCAGCACTTGTTTGGGACGTCCAAGTCTGCACTACTTGCATTTGCATGCAGTTACATCGTGGTTCGCCGTCTCCTTGGACTCAAGCGGCTGCCGAGCTATGACCGCATCCTTGAACCCTGACCTCACCTCACCTGTATCCCCCATCAACTCAACTTTCCTCCCGTCAAACCCACTAGCACGCCTCTCTCCTTGTCAACTGTTCGAACCTGCACAAAACTCGCGTCTCCAAACACACCGTAGCTAGCCTCTCCCGCACGTGGTGTAAAGCATCACATAAGCCAGCCCTCCGAGCCCCGGCTCCCATACCCGCCGTCGCACGGCGTTGCAGACGATCATGGCTCAGCCATGGGATTACATAGCAAAGATCGTATCCTTGGGCGACTCCGGGTGCGGTAAATCAAGTGTATGCGACGACGATATCAACAATACAGCCTTGCTCTTCCCCAGTACTGACCGAATGTAGCTCACAGTCCGGCTGTGCGAAGGCCGCTTCTCACCACACCACGACGTAACCATCGGCGTAGAATTCGGCTCGCGCATAGTCCCCGTCGGCCCCCCAGCTTCATACGCCCTCAACATCAACAACCCCTCGGCTGCGGCCCAAGCACAAGCCCCCGTCTCCCCCGCGAAACAAAAACAAGAACAAAAGCACATGAAGCTGTCGCTCTGGGATACCGCCGGCCAAGAAACATACAAGAGCATCACACGCAGCTACTTCCGCGGCGCCTCAGGCGCATTGCTTGTCTTTGACATCTCGCGCAAAAACACGTTTCTCTCGGCAACCTCGTGGCTGCACGACCTCCGTCAAATCGCCGAAGAAGGCATCGTCGTCGTCCTCGTCGGCAACAAATCCGACCTCGCCTCCGAAGCTGCCGCAAACAAGCGCCAAGTCTCGCGCGAAGAAGCAGAAGAATGGTGCAAGGCAAACGGCGTCATGCAGTATGTGGAGACGAGCGCCAAGAGCGGTGAGGGCGTCGAAAGAGCGTTTCTCGAGGTCGCAGAGAGAATATATCAGAATATTGAGGCGGGCAAGTACGATTTGAATGATCGGAGGAGTGGGGTCAAGGGACCTGGGGGTGGAGGTGCGAATAGAGGCGGTGTCAATCTTAATGACGCAAGTAAGAAGGGAAAACAGCAGGGTTGGGGGAGTTGTTGTTAGGGTTTTATGATGATGTTGTTGTTGTTTTGCATAGAAACTGGGAATTGGGCAATGGCACAGTCTTTTTTGTTTTCTTTCTTTCCAAGATATCGTAATGAGGGAACGGATGTTTTGAACTGTAACATCATGGCATGGGTAACCTCTCTTCTTCTTCTTCTTCTTCTTCTTCTTCTTTTGCGCTCTCTTGAACGGGCATTTTCAGTAAGCGTATTGGGCAAACCCACTACATGAGTATAACATGTGTTTGTTTAACAGAGAGATATTTGTGCGTAATACCCTTGGGGGGGTTAACATCATACCCGTATGGATTCCAAATGGCACATACTCTAGTAAATCCGAATTTACGCCTTCCCCACCCCCCCTCTCGTCTCCACTTTTATGTCATACAACTAGTTACATTACAATCTCATGCCTTCCCTTGCTTACACCCATACCCTTGCGAACGGGGACTCAACGGCAAGACCACTTGGGGATCAGCAGGGTAAAGGGTAAGGCTGTATGCACAATTGCGTAATTTAGTCCTTGGCTTTTGTGCGAATGTGGGTAGGTGGGCAAAAGTGCAAGGGGGGGAAAAATTCCATGCATGAAAGCTTGTGAGAAGGGTTTTTTTTTCTTCTCGATTTGCGGGTCCCCGTCTTTTGCCACTGGCGTCTGATTTAGTCTTGAGCTTATTTTTTTTTGTAGGGGCTTGTAGCAATGCATGTTAAGGCAGGTGGAACGAAGAGTATGGTGAGTCTGAGGCTAAAGGGTGAATTTTAGATTTGTGTTTGTGCTGGGAGTTTAGTCGAGTTTTGGTAGATGAGTAAGGCTGAGATGAGTGAAGTTGAGTGGAATGACACTGAGGATAACTAAGTACTAAGTGGGCAAAATGAAGATTTAAAACAAACCCTATAAAGTGGTTATTGCAATTCCAAAGTACCCTCCATTCGAGAGAGGACGGTTGTTTTTTTTTGGGGGTTTTTTTTTGGGGGGGGGGGATTATGTTAGATATGTATCGATGTATGTTGATGTCTTGTCTCTAACGTTCCTTCCTCCCACGACCAACCAACCAACCAACCAATCNCCCCCCCCCCCCCCCCCTTCGCCACACTACCCCTTCCACATCTCAGCTTCTCACGCACACATTATTCAGGACATACACAAGCAAACAAGCTATTGGAGTATAGCCCTGCGCGAACCATAAAAAGGGGGGGCGGATGCAGATGCAAAGAGGACCGTCCCGCCAGATAGCGACGACGGCTTATTGGGGGCTGTGTGGTTCGCGGCCTCGGTCTAGGCCGGTGGCTTTTTTTGGCGCAAGCGAGATGTGTGCCGGGTGTGTGTTGCATGGGCCAAGGGGTTGCGAAGTTTCTATTTTTGACGTAGGTTTGTTGGATCTTGGGAAGGTTCCTGGGTTGATGGCTTTCGATGGAGTTATTGGGTGACGGGGAGGTAGGGAGGTAGGGAGATAGGGGAGTGATTCAGTGGTAGGTTTGTATGTGATGTGGAATTGCTAGATAGTGTTCAAAGGGGTTGAAGGGTTTGGAGTGCTGGGTATGAGTGGTAAGTGAATCAACTCGGGTGCACAGTTGTGAAGTATGATTCAACTCGATGAATCATCAGCACAGCAGTTCGAGACACTGGGGCAGAGCTATTCAACTACTCTCATCTGAAGGTTTTCTCACACTGTGGAATTGTGGTGACGACCTGCTATTTGCTCGCTCAGTATGGCTTCTTGTAAAATAGTTTCAAGACTAGAGAGGTAACAGGCCTGCCAAGTCTGTGTCAAGTATGTATGGCGATATTTGCCAGTGAGATCTGCCGGCCCCAGAGATCCTGACCACAGAGACCATCAACGTTGGCACCGATGGGGGAAAGAGCAAACTCCACCATGGTGGCAACATACGAATGGAGTGAGATCTCTTTACCCGCAAACCGCAAATCTCACCATCCAGCACATCAAAAACGGGTACGTCAAATGAACAACTCCACTATCATCACCTCCAAACACCCATTTAGCCTACAAAATCCCTAGACCGCACCAGTGGGTCCCGAGAAATCAAGCCTTATTGCATCTCACGCAAAAGATGCGCTAAAGGTTTGCCCCCCCCAGGACGCCTCGTACCTGCACGTACCAAGGTGGAGATCAGCCCTACAAGTGACCCCATTGTTACTTACTAAAAATCTTGGCCCCGGTGAGAAAAGGCTAAGATATATATATGGGGGGGGCGGCGGCAAAGCGGTGGGGCAAAGTGTTCGCCATTTCCAGATGGGGCCCGGGCAAAACAAGAGGGTTATAGGGTTTTTTTCGCGGAATTCTTACTCGAGGTGGCGGGGAAGGGTGTTGCAGATGGATGTGAAACTGGCAGTGCAAGGTGTCAGTGTCATGTTTGTTTGCGGAGACAATGGTGTGAGTATGTAGTCGGTACGGTGACGAGAACAGTCACTCATCTCTCGGCACGCTACGCAAGGGCTGTTGTCGCCACATGTTTCTTTCCAACATTGTCGGGAATTAGTTTCTGTAAATGTATTTGTCCGCGTTTGATACTGATTGACGGTAATCTCGGATGTCTCTGCAAGGAAATGCTCACAGTGAGCAGGTGACTGTTGTCGGTGCGATAGCACAACGTAAGTCTCGGATTCCGAAAGCAGGCGGTGACAATGCACCGAGGTGTCCAAGTAGGCTGGACAATTATGCCGTGGGATAGTGGACAATCTAGTATGTAATAACTCCGACGAGTGCATACGTATCCAGACAATGCACATGGGCTTGTGGAAGGCCATGGTGCGTACTGGGCCATGTGTTGGTGGTATCATATCGTCAACGTGCTCAACGAAATAAGGCTGGAGGGCGGGCAAAAAGCCGATTGGGCGTGTTGAAGGGCAGGCATGTCGCAGTCGCAGCGTGTTCAGCGAGACGAGTCGAGGGAATGACCACGACCCGGGGCGGCGGGACATGCAGCGAATGCCGGGGTGGGATGCAGTCACGAGGCATGGTCAGCCAAGAGATGTGAATAATGGACAAGGTGTTTTTGGAGCTTGGGTGGAGGAAAAGAAAAAGGAGTCGTGACACGGACGCAGTCGGATACGGGGGGAATGGGGGGACGCGTCAGTAGCGAGTATTGGAAG